CCTTTCAATCGTCCGCTGGTCAACATACACCTAATTATCCTTCCACCTTCAACTCAAACCATGTCTATAATTTATGCTCCCTGCAAGAACACAACGTCACACCATGACGCCCAAAACCCCTAAACCACTCACACTTTCTCGCGACCTCAAACCATGTGATGTTCAATTCATGCACTTAAACCGACAAAGGTGTTTCCTCTGACACAACCTTTTTGGGTCACCTGATCGCCTCCATTGCATTCATAATTAAAAAATAAAATAACAAAAATAAAAGAAGCAAAAAGAACAGAGAAGAAACACGAGCGAACTCCATGCCTTCGCCGCCCGCCTCGGCGTCAAGCCGATCACGCCTCCCCCTGCCTCCGCACCACCACCGGCCCGGCAGCCCCGCCCCAGGCTGCCCGCCGCCGGGGCGGGGGTATGCGCATCACGGTGCACCGCCGCCTCGCGCCGCACCCACCCCCCCCCCATGAAAGAGCACACATAACCGATCCCTGACCCAGAGTGGTCCATTTGAACACTCTGCGTGACATCCGCCCAAGTTTTTCTTCCCTGAACGTTGTGCGGGCGTAAAGCCTTCATCTGAATCATAAGCACTGCTGCGCGCTTTCGCGACGTACCGTCGCCTGCATCCTCGTCCATCCAAGCTCACATCACGATGACCACAACCTTCCACCGTAATCACCGACAAGACAGCCTTGTCCACACACCTTAGACGAACTACCCTTCGCCCTCCGTCTCCATAATAGTCCCCAAGATCCAGAATCCGGTGCCTTCCTGTCCTGATACGGCCCCGTGCCTGAAAATATCCACAAGGTCGTCATGCTTTCCTCCATGCTATCATTCACTTCTGGCCGATGATCTCCTCAAATGCCTGAACACACTCCAAGGGAAGGGAGTCCCCCCCCACTCGTAGCACCTGCCATCTTCTCTGCCTTCTCAACCTCCTCACTCCATTGACCGCACTCTGCGGAGTCATGTCGAAAAAGGCTGTTCTTGCTCCACTCCTCCTCACCTCTACGTTTCTTCGTTTGTTGTAGTCTTTGTCTCCACGTCCCTCTACCACATTGCGCCTGCCAGGTGGTTCATACGAACCCACACAAACGACAAGTGCGTCCCGTTGCCACTGCGTATGTCACAAATAACTGAGTCAGATTCTTCCATCACCACATACGACGGTATAGGATGTCGTAATCGTCATCTTTGCCAGAGACGTTACCCTCAGGTATTCCTATACGTACCAGCTGACCATCCTTCCCGGCAGTAACCGTGTGTACCGTCCCATATTTACTTCATGGCAAACCTTATGTCAGATGCATCCGCCTCAAATGGCTCATTCCCTGATCTTCACCCAAGTGAAGTACTTGATACATCATGCATCCTCAACCGGTACAGGGGGGGCCTGTTGCACAGGTTGGGCCACTTCCTGGGGAAAAACTTGTTAACCACTGTCTCATACATACTCGTCGAACTGAATTTAAGAAATATCCTCTTCGTGCCATTCAAGGCAGTCCACAAACTCTTCCAGTAGCTACGCCGTTTTTAGGTGTCCTCTATTATTGCTGGTAGAAGTAGCTCCATAGACGGCCCAGTGATAGCTCCACTGGTTAATTCAATACAGACTGTATTGACTCTCCGGCGACAAGCCTGCGCCATGTTGTGAAAATATTACTGCACCCAGTCAACACCAGGGGGTAGCAGCAGCACACGTCCTCTCTACTCAAGGGCTGAGAGACGAATGAACATGGACAACAGGTGTCTTATGGAAACACGTCCTAATGTTTTTCAACCCTACCGGGGGATCGATCGCACGACCTCAGTGTGTGAGCTGAGTGTAATAGCGATCGAGCTAACTATTATTGTTTTAGAAAAAGAACCAGTGTGAGTAATATAATGCACAATCTGACCTGTGAATCAACTGTGAGATCCAATCTAATCTACGCAATTAATGAAAGAACGTGTTGGTATAGGAAATCAACAAAAGTAAAACACGTTAAGTGCGATAATTCACTCTGGTACAAGCAAATTGCTTTCTAGCAACAACTCAGGGACACACGAGAAGTTCAAAAAAAACTGTTCAGGAAGACTAGGAAGTCAAGATTCATTTAGGAACAAATGGATATGCAAGAACTTTTTTAAAAACACGTGAATAAAAGCCGTTCAGAACATTCGGATCACAAAATAGCCCGCCATCCAGCAACACATAAAAATTTAACGAAAAATGTGTCGTAGTGTTAGATACACAATACCTGTTTAGAAACAGTCAGAGACAAATATGTGAAGTACAATTGTAAATATAAATGCACAGTGAGAACTCAAATGAAGAGTATTTGATGCAGTTGTACAAATGTTTTCATATTAAGTACAATTATGACGTGCAATTGTAAATAGAATTTATGTCATGTGTAACTGTGGAATGCGGTAACACAGAAAAATATCGTATGAAGTGTAGTTGTGAAGTACGAGACGTCGATAATAGTAGAAAGGCAACTCAGTAATTACAAGTTTTAAGGAAATCGACCTGAAAGTTTACCTCGTGGGCCAAATTTACAACTGTCGATTTCGCCAGCAGGAATTAAATATGATTATTAGGGGAATGTAACCGATTATTTTGAAATGCGAGTAAATTATTATGAAGCATACAGCCTACTTGGAGTAATGATATGTAATAAATTACCAACTATGCATGTGCTGCGTTATTGTTTGCCTGGCTGTAAAACACTGCAAATGTTCGATAGATGTCAAAATGTTGAGTCACAATAATTTACGTGGACAAGAGAGACGAGATAGCTGAATTAGAGTCAGCAAGGAAGGATGACTCAGTCACATCTTCAGAGTGTCACAGGTTGGCTTCACCACCTGTCGAGATAAAAACAAATTGTTTTGATAACCTGTAGAATTCCCTCTTACTATCCTCAGTGCTTCGTATGTAAAAAAAAAATCACAAGGAGTGCACCAGAGAAGTGCCATAGTACATAGAATTTACTTGAGGTGTAACCGGAATGTAGTTGTGCAAAGTGACTGTAGTTCATATTTACGGTTGTTCGAAAACTTTGAAATCATGAAGGGAAGGCGTGTGCCAAGTACTCAAAGTACAAGTATTTTACTATTTATTTGACTCTCATCACACAGTCATTAGCATGCCCTCTCGACCAGCGAATTGGTAATTCAGAGTAGAGCAGTTCTGGGGCCCCATTGCCGTATTAGTTGTCCAGTTCGGTCAACCAGTAGCATGAGAGCTGGCCTGCTGGCCGAGGTGTGGTCACGCTTGACCACCTGGGTCCTGGTCAGATGCATACTTTAAAGCTGGTCTTTTCCACTCATGCTCTCTCTTATTTTAAAGTGAAACCTGTTGTTATGAGTGGCTCTTTGTTCTCAACTTTATTGTAATACTGTTGATTTAACTGTAAATACTGTACATATCGTGGTGAAGGAATATAGGTGAACAGAAAATACTAGTTTTTTTCTTGCCTTGATTGCCAGGTTGCTCTTGACTGGTGATTATTTACTGCCAGGAACGACAGGACTTGCGTTCTCTACCTGTGTTCGCGAAAGGTGAGCAGTGTCAAACTTGTCAAAAGTGAAATTAATTCCTCATATTTCAGGTCTACAGGAAACCCACTACTAAGGACGATCTCGTCCATTTCTTTGCCCACCACTGTACGTGTACTTAATGCTGTTTTCATTGGTTTACTATTCACGGCTTAAAGAATATGTTGCCCAAAGATTCTTTAAGAGTTTAACTCAGTTACAAACATATTCACCAAGCTCAAGTTTCCCTCTTATTCCAAGGACAAGTACTCAACCATAGGGAGAACACTTGACAACAGTCAATACATCATTTTACTGGTAGCGTAGCCGATAATATGACGTGATTAAGTTTAAAAACATATTGTTTTGAATCTTTAGTCATGCGGTCCTCCAACACTATAGAACATTATTAAGATAATTAACAGGTATTTATTATTGACGAACCACTGGATAAACAGATCTTACGTGGGAAAACACTAACATGTGGCTCCATCACCGCGCCTCTCACAGCCTACAGGTGATGCTGATTTCTACTAAGACTACTGCCGCGAATTTCTGACTACACCTCTTCGTCTATAGAATGTTCTCAGTTTCACTCCTTGCATGATTTAATAAAGCCGCTACGTGGACGAAATGAACTCTCTAATAAACATTGCCTTTACACTAAAGCTCACATTTTTTTTACCATACTTGTTGGCAATACTATACATGCCACATTTTATCTGCAAAAAGATTGTCCAAATAGGAATGACGATTTAGCTGCCGAAGGAGACAAGCATAATGCGACCACTATCAAGTGTAAGTTAATATTTCCAACTACTGTTTAGCAGGACCTACTTCTATTATAGCGGGCCACGCTCACTAGTGAAGTCACTTCTAGCTGTTACACCTCACTTCTCATGTACAAGGTTCGGCCACATGCCTCTACTCTAGGCTTGATAGACTACCTAACTCTTACAAAGGCTGAGGGAACTGATCACCTCGAAACTACTATTTGCACAGTCTCCAACGATATATTCACCTGTATTCGACTTAAGTTTATTGTACATGTGTAAACGTATCGGCAAAAGAGATACCCCAAGCATTGCAAATACGTCTTTTTTCGTCATCTCTACATAATGCATTATTCATGTAATGGACAAGAGTTGTTAAATAAGCAGTCATTCAGCAATTCTCTGAATCGCAAGCTCAGCAACACTCGGACACACAAAAGTTACCTAGCAACATCCCATGTAATTAGGTAGCACAGTAATGTCTAAAAAAAGAACTGAGGCTGAGTGACGTGGTGACCGTTGTTCATGTGACCCTGAATGAATCTAAATATGAAATGATAATGAGTAGGGCAGGAACGTTAGCTATAGTAGACGAGATGGAAAGCTAGCTCATGAGATGATACAAGGTTAACGCCTTCTGGAGAGAGCGCAGCTATTTAAAGACAGCGCCGCCTGCAATTCGCATCACACTCCGCCATGAGGGTCCTGGTGAGTGTTTCATGTGGCCTCTGTAATATCTCTCATTTGAGCTGTAGTGCTTTCCACTGCTGCAATATATAATACAAGACTTCCAATATTGTTGACACGTCTGGTACAGTGCAAGTGGCGTGCGTGAAGAAAAGTGCATGACATGCCCAGTACTCTAAGATGTTGCTGGGGTGTGACCTTATAAAGTGCGACATAAAACTACGAGGCCCATTCACTCAGCTGCATAGAGTAAAATGTTCTCACAAATCCTCCCTAAAACAAAATTTTATGTTTTCCTCTGTTACTAAGCCATGATAACAGCACTGTATTGAAAGAAATATTTGACTTAGTCCACCAGTTGAGGTATTCCCCATTATGTTCACATATAAAATTACGCTCGACATCTAGCCTTACTAGAGATTCTGCCTGATATCCACTGCTTGACTCTCGACTGATTCTAAGTTTTCACATTAAAGAATTTGACCGATAAGAGCAGAAGCTGGAGCTTCTGGTCAGGTGACCAGAAGCTCCAGCTGCAGGTCATCATATGAACACGACCAACGTCAGGAAGCACTTGTCCTGTTTCCTGATAAACCTTACCTAACCTAAAATCTCATTCACACTTTCCTTAACGTAACACATCTTGTGTTAAATTATATTCATACAGAGATAAAACTGCAGCAAAAAATGTTTATAACAACATTGGAACTGACAGGGTTTTTAAGGCAACATGATAACACTATGTTAATAACACACAACATGAAGTTATGTCATTTAATTGATAAGAACTGATAATATCGGTGGACAAAATGTCATCTCAGTATAATGTCATAAGCCGGAAATTGTCTTATTAATCTTATTAACATGTCCCTATATTCTACCACTGTTATACATGATAATACTGATAATGGGTGAGAAGTGCGAGGTGTTATGGTAACAGTAATAAGTGAGAGGTGTGCTGGGTTATGCTGTGTGGTGAGAGATATGTGGGGTTATGGTAACACTGTGTAATAATTGAGTGTGGGGTTATGGTAACATTGGGTAGTAACTGAGAATGTGGGGTTATGGTAACATTGGGTAGTAATTGAGAGATGTGTGGGGTTATGGTAACATTAGGTAGTAATTGAGAGGAGATGTGCAGAGTTATGGTAACATTGGGTAGTAACTGAGAGATGTGTAGAGTTATGGTAACACTGGGTAGTAACTGAGAGGAGATGTGTAGGGTTATGGTAACATTGGGTAGTAACTGAGAGGAGATGTGTAGGGTTATGGTAACATTGCGTAGTAACTGAGAGGAGATGTGTAGAGTTATGGTAACATTGCGTAGTAACTGAGAGGAGATGTGTAGAGTTATGGTACTGGTGGTGAATGAAGCTGATTGGTCAAATCTGTTACAGTGCAGCAAACGCAATGCAAAACTCAGTTCACAGGTGGATGAATATCTTTTGAGAGAAGTATAGTCACAGTTTCACTGATTTCAGCTGCTCCATACATGAAGGTCAACACGGTTACCATTAAGCTCTGTTAACCCTCTAAAGAATTACTTTCCATCCAGCACTAATTAGCGTCACACGAGGAAACAGAGTGCTTGGAGATTTAAGGATATTTATTATTATTATTTTCATATTTTTATATTGCAATATTATTATTATTATTATTATTATTAGTAGTAGTAGTAGTAGTAGTAGTAGCAGCAGTAGTAGTAGTAATATATTAGTAATAGTAGTAGTAGCAGTAAAACTAATCTCCAAATTTAGTTGCTTTAACACTAAATAAGTTTAAGGAATTAGTCTTGATCCAAATGGCATCAGCCCGAAAGTAGAGAAGAAAAAAAATGTTGCAGAACAAGTCTGATAAAGTGAAGCGTAACGTTGTCATAGAAAAATAAAATCCTCCAGCGTGTGCCTTTTCTACGCAGGAATTAGCTTAAGTATCTATGAATTGTGGTGGAGACTAAATGCAGTACAGTATTTTACTCATAAATCAGAAACGACATTTGATCATAACCAGCATTAATTAACTTTCGTTTTGACCTTAGCAGATATCAACAACCTCAACTACAAGAAAGAGTAGATTTTTTGGTGAATCAAAGTAAATTTCACCGAGGAACACTGCAATGCTTCTCGGTAATTGTGTTTTTATGAAACGCTCTTCATCTGTAAGTCAGCCAGTAATAGGTTTCAAAAATTAACACAACAACTTGTGCTAAGAGAGAGTTTCTTTAATGATGAAAATGTTTAGGTAGCGAACAAGCTTTTATGGTAGGCGTTTTCAATACAATTCATTTCAAAAAGCACTACATAGAAAGTCACCTTTTCACAGTAAAGGTTTGCCTGCACCTGCGTCTTGCTTGGCTTCATGCACAAGTTTTTACCACTTGGTTACAGATATATTAAATCAGTTGTAATATTCATGACTTTAAATCTTTGACCAATAACATTTCAATTCTGTTTCAGGTACTTGTATCGTTGTTTGCGGCGGCGTCCGCCGGCTCCCTACAGACCTATGGTCTCCCATCACGTTCTGGAATAGGTCACACGTTAGGGGCTTCACACGTTTCCAGTGGTGCTGGCTTCTCTGGTGGGTTAGTTACCGGTGGTGCTGGCTTGTCTGGCGGTTTAGTCTCCAGTGGTATTGGCTTATCTGGCGGCTCCGGGTTCTCTAGAGACTCTGTTTTTTCTGGTGGTGCAGGATTCTCTAGAGGTGCAGGATTCATTGGTGGGGTAGGCGTTTCTGGTGGCGCTGGACTCATTGGAGGTGCCTGTGGAAATGGACAGGTCCGTCATGTGGATGGAGGCTGCGTGACTCCTCACGTCACCAGAAACTTGTACGTGTACAGTGCTCCACCACTGGCTCCAGTCGTAGGACCACCACCAATTGTTCCTCCACCCAAGATAGAACAAAACGTTTTATTCATCCGTTCCCCCGATGTTGACGTAGCTCAAGAACCCATTATTGTTCCACCCCCACAAACGAAAAATGTTGTGTACGTCCTCAACAAGCGACCTGAACTGGACCAGAAGGTCATCCACCTCCCAGCACTTGAGCAACAAAGTCCTGAAGTGTTCTTCGTCAACTATGCCGAAGGTGACAACCCGACTTTGCCCACAGGAGAGGACCTCCAGTCTGCTCTCAGCTCCGCCGCTCATGGTGGTGGTGAGATTATTGGTACTGCTGGTGGCATTGGAGGCGCCGGAATCGGCATTGGAGGTGGCTTTGGAGGCGGAGTTGGTGGTGGCGTTGGAGTCGGCATTGGAAGCGGTATCGGAGGTGGCGTTGGAGGTGGCGTCGGAGTCGGCGTTGGAGTTGGTATTGGAGGGGGCAGCGTTGGTGGGTTTGGAAGTAGTATTGGTGTAGGATCTGGCATAGGCATTGGAGGAGGATCTGTGAAACACAGTGGCTTCAGTGTTACCACCCCGTCTAGTCTATATGGCGCGCCATAAACGACACAAGAACACCTTTTTTTTTCTTCAGCAGAGGCTTCCACATTGCTGGACGGAATAACTTATCAGTTTCATATGATTTCCAGCTTTGCAAATCCTCTTACTCTTCATAACTTATATTTATTATAACCAAATAATGGATTTATATAGTTCATGACAAATTCAGGTATCTGCCATTGTAAACCTAGGCTATAACAAATATATTCTTAATTTATGTAATTGTTTTAATCTTTCCTGCGGTTTTAACTCACATTATGGTCAGAAGGAAAATGTCAATTGGAATCACAAACAATTACAAGAGATACGTCAATCTTGCACTTCAAAGAGAGAAAAACTTACTTGTGTCCAAAGAGCTCAATAGTAATCGAAGCTATTAGGGAACTAGAGTCTTGCACGATATCCAGTATGAACGCACATGTTAGAATATCTCGATTGCTTAAAGAAAATTTAATAAGAAAAAATATTCAGGTGTATGAGAGAACTCATCACAGTATGCAGAAGTGCCTCAAAAGTAAAAGATACATGGCATTTTCTGGCTGAAATACCTATCGACTGAAGCTAATCAAACACGAGCAGGCAAATGTAATTACTGAAAAACAAAGTGACCATTGCAACTGTTGTGTTAAAAAACCAGCCAGTGTATGTAATATAATGTACAGGCTGACCAGTGAATCAACTGTGAAATCCAATCTAATCTCTACAGTTAATGAAGCAACATGTTAGCCAATGATACACATTAAACACAAATATACCAATATTAATAACAGATATAGAAAAATTAACAACAATAAAAAAATATGATTAGTGTGATAATTCACTCGGGTATACGCAATAATTTTCTAGCAACACTCAGGAACACGGGAGAAGTTCAGTAACAGTCGGATATGAAAAAAAAAAACTTCAGAAATATTAGGCTGGTCAAAAGTAATTCAGGAACACTTGGACATGCAAGAACTTATTAACAATACTCAACAAACGAGTCTTTTATGAAGACACACATGCTACACATATGCTACACACATGCTACACACATGATACACACATGCTACACATATGCGAAACATTCAGCTGTAGTTAGTATGTCCACTGACAGGAGTTTCAAACTGACATTCCATATAGACGCTGCTGTTTGAAGATTATAATTGGGCCCAGATAACAGCTTTTCAAAAATACGACTGAAGATGGATAAATGTAAAAGCTGACTCTGCTGGCTCTAGTTCGCAGTTTGACCCTCAAATTAGATTCTTTATTCAGCTGAATTTGTAAATGGTCCTGAAGCTAATCGAAATATGGAACATTATGAGCATAGTTAAATCTAATGCTCACATTATTTAGCAAAATACCTTGGCGCTCCTAGCATACGTTTACTCTTGTGTGATTAGAACGTGTCTAAATTATAGATTTGAAAAAAAGGTTTATATTATTGATACAATTATCAAAGATTTACTTAATTCCAAGAGGGATGGGTGACAAGATCATCTGCGATTACGACAACAATCAAACTGAAAAAAATCATTGTTGAAAGGCGTATTAAAACATAAATATAATTTCAAACAGTACTATATAAACAATTTTACTAACCACTTCCGTCGTAACTAAATCCATTTTTGAGCTTTATAACCCTCACAGATTTAGTGATTGTATTGTTAAAAGTAATATACATTTCACTCATTAGTGCATAATTATACTGGTTGTAGGGTTAAGTGCTGCATTTTGTGGTCTTATTCTTTCATTTTGAGTGCCTGTAAGGTTGATTCGTGAATGTTTCACTCGATTCTTTTACTTTTCTATTGCAAGTATTTTGTATTTTTTATCATTCAAACATCTCTTTGTAATCATAATACTGAAGGTATATAATACTAATAACCGTTAATTATGACCTACTTCTACTAGGGGGCCACGCTCACTTGTGACGTCACCTCCAACTGCTACGCCTCACTTCTGCTCCTTTATAAGGTTCGGCTACCTGCCTCTACTCTAGGCTTGAGGGACTATCCAACTCTTACCATGGCTGAGGGGACTAATCACCTCGAAATCACTATAATTGTACTGTCTCCAATGATATATTCGCCTGTATTCGATTGAAGAAATTCGTTGCACAAACGAAAAAGTTTTGTCAGTAATGATGCCCAAGCTTTGCAAATATGTCTTTTTTCGTCATCTCTGTTTAATACTCACATTCATGTAAAGGACAAAAGTTTTATAAGTAAACAGGCACTCAGCAACACTCAGATGCACAGTAGTTGCCCAGCAACACCCCATACAACCAGATCCCACTGTAATATCGAAAAATTTGAGGTTGAGTGACGTGGTGACGATGTTCTTGTGACCCCTGGTGAATCTGATATGACATGATATCGAGAGGTGGGTAGGGAAATAACGCAAGCTATAGTAGACGAGGTGGAAAGCTAGCTCGTGAGATGATACAAGGCTAACCTCTTTTGGAGAGAGCGCAGCTATATAAACACAGCGCCGCCTGCAATTCGCGTCACACTCCGCCATGAGGACCCTGGTGAGTGCTTCTTGTGGCCTCTGTAATATCTCTCCTTTGAGCTGTAGTTTTTCCCACTGCTCCAACATATTATAAGACTTCCAATATTGTTGACGCATCTGGTACAGTGAAAGTGGAGTGCGTAAAGAAAAGTGCATGACATGCTCAATGTGCTAAGACGTTCCATATTACGGGTGGGGTTAGAACCCGTGATCAGAGTCATAAAACTCAGACCGACGCGTTAGCCACTGGGCCAGCTAGCCACAATAAGATTTATCCAACTAGTCATGCTAAGACGTTGCTGGAAAGTGACCTGATAAAGTGAAAGACAAAGTTACAGATCTCAATCATTCAGCTGCATAGTGTTAAATGTTTTCACAAATCCTTCCTAAAACAAGATTTTATGTTGGCCTGTGTTATTAAGTTATGACGGCAACACTATTGAAAAGAGAATTTGACTTAGTCCATCAATTGTGATATTCCTATTAAGTTCACAGATAAAATTACACTCATTATCCAGCCTTACTCGGGATTCAGAATAAAGTTTATCTGATATCCAATCCATGCCTATTAACCCATACCAAGAATTCACACTTTCCTTAATGTAACAAATGTTGTATTAAATTATATTCATACATACATAAAACTACACCAAAATTGTCTCATAGCTACACTGGAAATGACAAAGTTGTTAAGGTGGCACGATAACACTGTGTTAATAACGCTTAACGTGAGGTTATGACGATACTGTAAAGTCTCTCGTGCACCACAAAATTTTATCAATTCTTGAATTGGTAAAGAATTAATAAAGTTGGTGGTGGACGAAATGTCTTTTCAAAATAATGCCATAAACTGCATATTTTGTTTCATTAATCTTATTAACACGTCAGTATATATTCTACAAATGTTTTACTTGATGACACTGGTAATTAGTGAGTAGTAACAATAACAATAAGCGAGAGGTGTGCGAGGTTTGGTAAGTGTGTTGTAAGAAATATGTAGGGTTATGGTAACATTGTGTAGTGAATGGCAGGAGATATGTGGGGTTGTGGTCTATATGTAGATAAATCTAATTGGTAAAACCAGTTACTATGAAAAAAAAAATGAAAAACTCGGTTCACAGTTGGATAATCAACATATCTTGAAAAAAGTGATCACAGTTTCACCGATTTCAGCTGCTCCACAAATGGAGGTCAACATGGTCACTATCAATCTATTTATCCTCTGAAGAATTACTTTTCATCCCGTACTGACGAACGTCACACGGGGAAAAAAAAGAGTGCTTGGAGATTTAAAAATATTTATTATTTTCATGTTTTATTTTGCAATATTATTATTATTATTATTAGTAATAGTATCCTTAGTATTAGTAGTAGTAGAAGTAATCGCCGAATGAGTCGCTTTGGCGTTGAACAACAGCTTCTTAACTACGATCGTCCTGATGGTGATAGTGAAGATAACTCACACCTTCCAGAAAGAGTTTGACGATAAAATCAAGCATGATGAAATTTGTAATAAAGTTGGTAGAATTACCGACAGTATGTAAAGTAAAAGGACACAAGTGCAACTAATGTGACATTTTATTGTGGCAACGTTTCGCTCTCCAGGAGCTTTATCAAGCTTGATAAAGCTCCTGGAGAGCGAAACGTTGCCACAATAAATGTCACATTAGTTGCACTTGTGTCCTTTTACTTTACATGATGAAACCTCCCAGGAATGACGTTGTACTAGAAAAAAATTCCCGCACCCTGTGCCTTTTCTTCACAGGAATTAGTTTGTTAATTATCTATGAACTGTAGAGGAGACTAAAGGCTGTACTTTAGTCACAAACCAGAGACTACTTTAAATCTTGTAATATTAATAAGGTTAATATATGCATCTCTCAGTTAATATACATTTAACTACATACGGTGTATAAACTCCTGAACCGCAAGGAGCCCAAAGTATTGTCTAGTAAATTTTTTTATCAACATCTTAACTACTTAACGTGAGATATCATGCACACTTTAAACTCCAAGAAAAGGGTTCAGAGATCAGTTTGATAACTCATTAAAACAACAAAGGAGAGGTCTTGACGTTCACATATATCTTTTACGTCGGGAAAATAATGTTAATCCTTTTCTCATCCTTGGCAGATATCAGAAACGTCAATTACAAGAGGAGGTAGAAATTTTTGGTGATTGAAAGTAGATTTCACCGAGGAGCACTGTCATGCTTCTCGGTAACTATGATTCTATGAAAAGTTCTTCATCTGTAAATCAGCCAGTAATAGATTTCAAAAATTAGCACAAAAATTAATATGCTACGAGAGTTTTTTGACCAGAAATTAATGAACACGAATGTCTTATTTTTTTTCCCAGTTACCATCTATGTTAAACATTGATACAAAAGCCGTGTTGCAGACAGTAATGAAGAAAATGCTTATGTGAAGAATAAGCTTTTATTGTCAGCTTTGTCAGTCATATTGATTTTATAAACCTCTACATAGAAAGTCACCATTTCACAATAAAGGTCTGCCTACACCTGCGTCTTGTTTGGGTTGATGCACAAGTTTTTGCCTCTTGCGCACATATATTTTAAATCACTTCCGATATAACGTAATACAACGTTAATTGCTTACAATCAAATAAAAATAAATGTAATATCAATCATATCTCTAGGAATCCTATCACAATTGGCTTGGGTTTTGACAATAATGCTTTTGCAACAAATTTAAGCGAAACATTTGTGAAGTTGATGTTTATGAATATAAATTAAAAAAATATCTTCACTGTAAACGTTTGACCAATAACATTTGAATTTTGTTTCAGGTACTTGTTTCGTTGTTTGCTGCGGCGTCCGCCGGCTCCCTCCAGACCTATGGTCTCCCATCACGTTCTGGACTAAGTCACTCCTTAGGGGCTTCACGCGTCTCCAGTGGTGTTGGCTTCTCTGGTAGCTTAGTCTCCGGTGGTGTCGGCTTATCTGGCGGCTTAGTCTCTCGTGGTGTTGGCTTATCTAGCGGCTCTGGGTTCTCTGGTGGTGCAGGATTTGCTGGTGGTGCAGGATTCTCTAGAGGTGCAGGATTCACTGGTGGGGTAGGCGTTTCTGGTGGCGCTGGACTCATTGGAGGTGCCTGTGGAAATGGACAGATCCGTCATGTGGATGGAAGCTGCGTGACTCCTCAAATCACCAGAAACTTGTACGTGTACAGTGCTCCACCACTGGCTCCAATCGTAGGACCACCACCAATTGTTCCTCCACCCAAGATAGAACAAAACGTTTTATTCATCCGTTCACCCGATGTTGACATAGCTCAAGACCCCATTATTGTTCCTCCCCCACAAACGAAAAATGTTGTGTACGTCCTCAACAAGCGACCTGAACTGGATCAGAAAGTCGTCCACCTCCCAGCACTTGAGCAACAAACTCCTGAAGTGTTCTTCGTCAACTATGCCGAAGGCGACAACCCGACTTTGCCCACAGGAGAGGACCTCCAGTCTGCTCTCAGCTCCGCCGCTCATGGTGGTGGTGAGGTTATTGGTACTGCTGGTGGCATTGGAGGCGCCGGAATCGGCATTGGAGGTGGTTTTGGAGGCGGGATTGGAGGAGGGGTTGGAGGCGGCGTTGGAGTCGGCATTGGCAGGGGCATCGGAGGTGGCTTTGGAAGTGGCGTTGGAGTCAGTGTTGGAGGAATTGGAGGCGGCAGTGTTGGTGGTATTGGCATAGGATCTGGCATAGGTATTGGAGGAGGATCTGTGAAACACAGTGGCTTCAGTGTTACCACGCCGTCTAGTCTATATGGCGCTCCATAAATAACACAAGAGCCCCGTTATTTTTCCCCTCGGCAAAGACCTCCCCACTTCTGGACCGAATAACTTATCAGTTTCATATGATTTCCAGCTTTGCAAACCTTCTTGCTCTTCATAACTTTTATTTATTATAGCCAAATAATGGATTTATATATTACATAACAATTTTAGGTATCTGCCATTGTAAACCAAGGCTTTGACAAATATATTCTCAATTTATGTTATTGTTTGATTCTTTCCTGGAACTTTAACCCAAATGTTGGTCATAAGGGAACTGGTAACTGGAATCAATAACGATTACAAGAAGAGCGTCATTCTTGCACTTCAGGAATGGAGAATTTTTTTTTTCTTAAATGCTCAGTAGTAATCAAAGCTTACTGGCAAAATCATAGTCTTGCACGGTATCTAGTACATATTAAATTCCTTCATATGCACATGTGGCTAAAACAAATTTTAATAGGAAAATAGCATTCATGTGTATGAGAGAACTCATCATAGTCTGCAGAACTGCCTCTAAAGTAAAAGGTTCATGGCATTTTCTAGCTGAAATATTTATTCACTGAAGCTAATCAAACACGAACAGAGAAATATAACTATTGAAAAACAGAACGACCAATGTAACTATTTTGCTAGAAAATCTTGCCAGCGTAAATAATGTAATGCATAAGCTGACCAATGAATCAACTATGAGATCCAACGTTATCTATGCAATTAATGAAACAACAAGTTGGCCAATGAAACATAAGTATACCAGGAATGCGAACAGATGTAGCAAATCAACAGTAGTTTAACATGCTAAGGGCGATAAGTCACTCGGGTACACCCAGTTGTTTTCTAGCAACAATGAGGGACACAGGAGCAGTTCAGTAACAATCAGACATGAAAAAAACTGTTCAGTAGCACTAGGCTAGACAAGAGCCATTCAGGAACACTTGGACATGCAAGAACTTATTAACAAACAATAAACGAATCTTTCTTGAAGACACACACATGCTACACATAAGCGAAACATTCAGCTGGAGTAATTCCACTGACAGGAGTTTCAAGCTGATACTCCATAAAGACGCTGTTGATGGAAGATAATTGGGCCATGATATACAATAACAGCTCTTCAAATAAGCGACGGAAGAAGGATTCACTTCAAAGTAGGTTGTACCGGCTCTACCTAGCAAGAGGTTTTAATTTGTAGGTTCAGCCTCAGATTAGATGTTTTTTTCCAGCTCTGTAACTGCTCCTGAAGGTAATAGAAGTAAGGAAGATTATGGTCATAGTTAAATCTAATGCTCACATTGTTTAGTAAAATACCTTGCTGCTCCTAGCATACGTTTATTCTTGTGTGATTAGGACAAGTAATAGACACTACATCATCATGCGAGCACTGAAAGTAAGAACCATTGATAGTAGATGGCGCTAAAGAACCCTCACCTTTATGAGTAATATAATGAATAATAAAAACCAACCATCTATACATCCATCCTGTAAAATATGTACAAACATATATGGTGTTACTTATTCCTTACAACTACTATGTAGTGTTTCCCCGAGACCTCAGTGTGTAATTTATATTTACGCAGTGAAATGTATCTAACTAAATAATAAGATCAATGAAAGTCATTAAAATTTAAAGACTTAAGTTATTTCATGTGAAGTTTACACCATTTACCATATGAATGATCTGATAATGTTGCATTAACTGAAGATACACAAACAGTGTTAACTAAATACATTTTCCCATAATGTTAGTATATTTGCTTTATGTATATGTACTTAAAACTCTTGTAACTATATTATTGCATCAGCGTGATTATAGTAATAAACTGAACCGTAACTGAAATATGCCTAAATGGAATAAAATATTATATCCCTTTTAGGTTTTCTGGCATCGTTGTATCATTGAGAGTGAAGACTCTACAGAGGGAATTATAATAAGCAAATTTAACCAACTCTGTTTTATAGGGTTTCCCATATCTGCAGCAATAATAAATGTTACAAGCCATGCAATTTATCGTAGCGGGAGGCAAACACCTGGCCAATTCCATCAGAAATCATCAATGCGTCTTTGTCAAGCGAGATGCCTCAAATGTTAACTGAGTCTGATACCAGGATATCTGTTTCATCTCCTTTCAGATGGATAGTCTGAGTCTCGCCTGTCTTAAGCTTTTGAGCTCAGAGATCACTAAAGACTGCAGGGTTTTTCCTGTGTTATTTTCCACGTAAGGGACATCCGAGGTGATCGTATATACATAGGCACCGGTAGTGATTATCTTTGTCTTTTTAGACAAAGAAGAGACAGGAAGTGTAAAGTAATAAAAAGAAGCCTGAGACTTTCATTCATAAAATTAAGACAAATAACTATCGTTTAACTAGCCTTAACCACCACCGACCAACGAGACATGCAGCGCCAGCTTCCCGGCGACTCTTCGGTGGTGCACACCACAACGATTCCTCAACCGGAATAAACAGAATATAAAATCTTTAGTAGTACTTCCGCTACCAGATGACCCACCAAATAATCAACTCGACTGTCCCATTCTAGTAAGGTATTTCATATTTTAACACTGTAACTGATGGGAAAGAAAAGTTAGCAACGGTGAGTTGTCACCTTCTCAAGACCCACAGAACAAAATTTTGTGAAGTGTGAAATCCCCACTATGTATTCCAAATAAAGAAAATGCATGATTGGTTTTCAATCAGGTTGGCTCTATAAATCCATCCTTAAAGATAGAGAAGAATAAGTGGCATATTGCTTTGCTATTTAAGTTTTAACAACTTCCTGGCCTTGTAAAAATGTGTATATATGAATACGGAGCCAACTGGTAGCATGTCAGTCCAAATTTCTGAGGATTAGATTAGTGTCAGAAAATATAAGATAACCTTGGGATATTAGGTAAGACACATATGCAACAGTTAGGTATCTTTATTTCGAAACGTTTCGCCTACACAGTAGGCTTCTTCAGTCGAGTACAGAAAAGTTGATAGAAGCAGAAGATACTTGAAGACGATGTAATCAGTCCATCACCCTTAAAGTTATGAGGTGGTCAGTCCCTCAGTCTGGAGAAGAGCATTGTTCCATGGAATGAAACAATATTGTTTCATTTCATGGAACAATGCTCTTCTCCAGACTGAGGGACTGACCACCTCAAAACTTTAAGGGTGATGGACTGATTACATCGTCTTCAAGTATCTTCTGCTTCTATCAACTTTTCTGTACTCGACTGAAGAAGCCTACTGTGTAGGTGAAACGTTTCGAAATAAAGATACCTAACTGTTGCATATGTGTCTTACCTAACAACCTGTCGGTATTTTATACCATTTTAATGTTCAACCTTGGGATAATTACTTTGGCTATGAGAAAAATTCTGTATAAGAGAAGCCAGCACGAAACATGCATAAAATAAATATATAAATTGATGAAGGACTGCTTTGGCGTATAAAGATAGACGAGAAGAATTACCTTGAAAGTGTAGCACCGACTTTGTGAAAATATGTGTAAAAGTATATTCAAATAGAAGTTCACATCTGTAATTTGAGAGGAAAAGTTTAGTCTAAAGATTAAAGAGACGAAGTAAATTGATGTTAGATTTTTTAAGATTTGAACTCGCTTATCCCACTCAGTGGAAGAAAAACGAAAAGACTGGCTTTTAAAATTAATCGTTCTTGAATTAATTTCGGTATCTAATGACAAGCTATAAGTAAACTAATAATAATCAATAACAATTCACCATTATCAAATGGTATACAATACCGACAGGTTGGTAGATAAGACACATAGGCAACATTTAGGCAACTTTATTCCGAAACGTTTCGCCTACACAGTAGGCTTCTTCAGTCGAGTACAGAAAGTAGGCAGGAGCAGTACAGATGTGAAGACGATGTAATCAGTCCATCACCCTTGAAGTCGTAGATCTGAGGTTGTCAGTCCCTCAGCCTGGAGAAGTTCTGTTCCAAAGTCTGGAACTAACTGAAGATCAAGCGACAGTGTTGAGACTTAAATACTGTCGGAAGGAGAGGTGCAGAGCAGTAGTAGTGAGATTGTAGCCACTGAGAGGTCATGTCCCTCTCAGATCAAATAATTCTCACTTGAAAAAAATTGTCAAAAGTGTTTTCTCTTCTGTACCAAGATGCCATTGTGTTGCAGTGTCTTACACTTCAGTGTCTGAGGTTGTGTGACGTAGTAACCGATGTTCATATGACCCTGAATGAATCTAAATATGACATGATAATGAGGCGTGGGTAAGGAAGGAACGCTAGCTATGGTAGATGGGATGGAAAGCTAGCTCATGACATGATACAAGGCTAACCCCTTTTAGAGAGAGAGCGCAGCTATATAAATACACCGACTCTTGCAATACACATCACACTCCCCCATGAGTTTCCTGGTGAGTGCTTCATGTGGCCTCTGTAACATCTCTCATTTGAACTGTAGTGCTTCCCACTACTGCAAAATAATACAAGACTTCCAATACTGGAAGTCTTGTATTATTTTGACGCGTCTGGTACAGTGAGAGTGGTGCGCGTGAAGAAAAGTGCATGGCATACCCAGTGTGCTATGACGTTACTGGCATGTGACCTTATAAAGTGCGAGATAAAGTTACGAGGCTCATTCACCCAGCTGCATAGTGTAAAATGTTCTCGATAGCAGCACTGTAGTGAAAGACAAATTTAACTTAGTGCATCAATTGTGATATTACCCATTATGATCACAAATTAAATTACACTCAAAATCCGGGATTCTAAGATTTTGCATTTTCCCTAATGTAAAAAATCTTATATTAAATTATAGACACACAGATAAAACTACATCATTTGTTTATAACATCACTGGAAATAACGTTGTGTTTAGAACATACTGTTGAAGAGACTTTTTCCCCAGAAAATTTTTTGTCAATTTTTAAATTGGTAAAGAATTGATAAAGTGGACGGTGGACGAAATGTCTTCTGAAGATATTGCTACAAACTGCATATTGTGTTTTATTAATGTTAGTAACATTTCGGTATGTTCTACAACTATACTTGATAACACTGGTAATTAGTGATTGGTAACAATAATAAAGTGCGAGAGGTGTGCAGGGTTTTGGTAATAAGAACATAAGAACGAAGGAACATTGCAGCAGGCCTACTGGCCCATGCGAGGCAGGTCCAAGTCTCCTACCGGCTCAAGCCAATGCACCCAACCTAGTCAGG